CCAGGGGAGCCACGCACCCCAAATCTCAGCTAGTAGGAACCAACTTTTGGGCACCATTTGAGAGTCTTTCCATTCTGCTTGGCAGTTAGGTTGCTTTAAAATAAGAATTCTTCCCCCACCACCCACCCACCCACGTTGAGATTAAAATATTAAAGGTACTGTGTGGGGGGCGGGGAGGAATAACTTATTGCGAGCTTTTTTTTCGCCTGTTTACATTGATAGCAAATAAAATGCCCAACCCTCATGGCAGTGTTAACCACCTTTCCCAAATCATAAATGCAAGGGCTGTTAGTAGCATCATGACGTGTCTGGTAGCCTTGGAATTGTGAATCTCATGTCAAGATTGATGTGAAATTAGTCTCTTCTTACTGGCTAATGGATTCTTCATGTCGTGTACTACAACACCTAATCCAGCAGAGTACATTCTCTTGTGATTGATGGCTCTTTATTGCTGGAAAACAACCAGTAAAAATTGAGTTGCCATTAATTTTTTTTTTTATGCTAATATCCATTAAGTTTTTATAACTGAATGTGACGGGGCCTTTGTGGCTTCTTGGTTGTGGTGTTTTATTTAACCATTTTTTTTTTTCCCCTACGTATTTATGTGGGACTGTATTTCAGGAGCTGGCTGAAAGGAGTTTAGCTGACTAGTTCAATCTTTCACGCAGTTTCCTCAGCTACAGTAAGGTGGTGGAATATTTACCCCAATTTACAGATGCTATAAATAAAAGAATAAAACTCATGCACAGAGGAAACAGAACCCATCTTGCCTTGCTCTCAAAGGGGGAGTAGGTGTTGAGCTTAGTTAGCCAGCAGTGTATGACAATGTAAGATTTCCACAACCTGGGTTGCAGCATCATTTTTTTTCTTATTTTTATCTTCATACTCTCTTTTAAAGTGACATTTCTGCTCCTGTTGTTTGCCATGTTTATTAAACCCTTGGAGACTTCAAAAACCTTTTTTTTTTTTTTTTTTTTATTTTCTTCCTTGGAAGGCTGTGGAGAACCAGCCTGTGAATGTGCTCCCCTGACATTTTCAGGTTTACAGTCCAGGCAGTAGTAACCAGCTTTGAAGAGATGAGTAGGTTTTGAAAAGGTCATGCACAGATCATGTATTTAGCACTTCCCTTCTGCAGATCTTCTTGTTTACAAATGTTTTAATTAATCCTTTAACAGCTGCCTTCTGGGGTACTGATAAGAGGTATTGTCACAATTCAACAGGCGGGTGAAGTGGCATGGAGAGGTGACATGGTCAGTGGTAGCATTGTGGAGGCTATTTGTGCTAAGTACTGGGCCACATGTGCTCACTGCCTGTTATCAAAGGATGGCTCATGCCTTTAGATCTTGCACCATTTGACCCAGGTCCCATTGCTTGGGGAAACTAATCCAAATAACCTCTCAGTTACTGACTTTCATACTCTGTCTACCCCAGTGGGTACATTTTTAATTCATTCACGTGTGTTTACATTTTAGGTAAATGTGATCACATATTTTCCATCTAGTTATTCCTGTAGTAATCTTTAGGAACATAATCTTTAAAATGTAATGTGAAATGATTATTTAATTGGGTGCTTGTAGCAGAATTTCTTCTGTTGAGATTTCTGACTGGCTAACCAATTTCCTTGAGCAATATGTTTTTCCGCGTGATGGATTCACTTATTTTCCTCAAGAAGATACTGTAATTTTATTTGGAAAGATTTGACATATTTTGGATCAACTCGGAAAATAAAAATCAATTTTTCCTTCATTAAATATCTTGTACAATGGATGCAAATGGAAATATAAATGGAAAAAGAGGCAGTAGCAACTTAGCAACTATATTGACTTTTACTTTGGAGCTTGGTTTGGTTTGCTTGTATATTTTGTAAGGACTGAAAAGGTGTTGGGGTGTATGTAATACACATGTTGCACATCTACATTACCTATATATTTTAAATAAGTTCAGTAATGCAGGGGGAGAGGGGTGTTAGAGAGGGGTGTTCTGTGATGTCTTCTTGGGCTTTATCCCAAACCAAGCCCATTTTAGCTGGGACCAAAACTGTGTCCAAGTCTAGTATTGGCACACTGCATGTCAGCCTGCAGACCTACCTAAACACGAAACTAATGCTGTTCTAAATGAGAGGGGTAAATTCAGTTGATACCAAACTCCTCTGGAGTGCTGCATGTGCAGGTATGCTTTGATAGCCACAAAGCTATTTTTGTGCAGGAGTGCTTATAAACTGTACTGCTACACTTGCCTCTAGCTGACAATTAGATTGGCATAAATGTACACCTCTGACAGATAACAGTTACTCAGTCACTTTCTGTAGACCCTAAGGGAGGTCCCAGCTCCTAGGGATGTGACAATATGAGGATTATTACCATAAAATTGTGAAGAGTTGTTTTGTTCCAGCATGTTTGTTTAACAGTGTTGATACCAAATTCGTCACTTGTCACTCAGTTCAAGCACCTGACTTTAGACAAAAAGAACCAAAAGGGATGTTTCACATGTCTCAGGTCTGTAGTTTTGTACTTGCAGTAATTTCTCCTCAGGCTGTGACTGATGTCCTCTTTTAATCCCAGCTGTGAGAGAGGTTACTGCTCCTGTCTGCCTCTTGCCATCCTTTGCCAAAGGTCATCACCGAGGAAGCAATTTACAGGAACGTTCTTATATTAGGCAAAAATTGTGGTCTTACCCTAAACTAAATTATTGGTCCCAATTAACTTGGCAGACTGTTCCTGCAGTGAGTTAACAGGTGCTTACACATACTGCTTGACTGGTACTTTGGTGGGTCACCAATAAGAAGTTAAGAGCTGGTAACAGCTTCCTTTAGCACAGCTGGATACAGGAGATTCCTTTTCATAGCCTCAGTTACTTTTTTCCCTCTTCCAAAGGCTGGAACCTGCCTTCAGAGCTACAAATATGAGCCAATGCACTAAATTAAATCTGAGAAAAGAAGAGGAAAAGTTGAAAGTACAGCTGTTTCAAAAAAAATGGCCAACCTGGTAGGACCTACCTCTAGCTATGAGCTCTACCACATCTGTATGAGTGGTGTTGGTCTCTGATACACAGCAATAACACCATTGTGTTCTCTCTGGCCTTTGCTGAAACACTGGAAGAATCTTAGCAAAGTTAGAGTTGTAGCAACTCATCCATCAAAACTAACCAGTCTGATTATTCATATGGAAGCACAGATGTGACCAGTTGTTGATTTTCAGTAGATGGCTGTGATGAGCAGTTGTTTACTTTTCCATTGCCTTTTTGACCCAACTTAGACCAAGCCCAGAGAAAAATCACAGAAAGCATTTACTTTTTATCAGCTGCTAAGTATGATATGTTGGATAATTGTCTCATGTAATTATTGCACATTCAGAATATACTCAAGATGAAAAAAACCTGAAGCTGTTTGTTTGTGTCTTTCTTTTCAGTTCATGCAGAGAGGTTTGGATTCACAAACTAAAAAACAGCTAGAAGAGGAAGAAAAGAAGATAATTAGTGAAGAACACTGGTATCTTGATTTACCAGATCTAAGGGAGAAAGAGTAAGCTCATACCATTTTCTGCTTCTTACCCTCATTGGACTGTTGTGGAGTGGGACTAGAACAGACATTTTTTTTCCCCCCCCTATAAAAGAAATATTATTAATAACCAATTAACAGAAGCAAAAATAGTGACAGACTGGCATTTCAGCTTTTTTTATTACTTATTTTCAGGCACATTCTCAAGGTTGCCTAGTGCAGTTTGACCTACTTTCATTTCTTGTGCCTGTTTTTTTCTCTCACTCACACATTCTTGTAGATGCATGTAATTAGTTTCTTTCAGGCAGGGACCAACTCATTCATTGCTGCATTTTCCTCTTCATTTGAAAACAATTTGAAACCTTGTGTTAGTAAATTCAGCTCCAGTCACACAGTTAGGTCCATTCAGGACAGTTCTGTCTTCTTGAGTCTGGTTCGCTTCAAATCCTGTTTTTGAAACAGATAATAGCAAAAATAAAGGAAGGCTTGGCTAATAAGCAAGAAAATGTCTATTCTTGCTGCTTAGAAAGGTGCTTTAAATAGCAGAACTACTTTTAAAATTGATTTTTGTCCTTTCAAAAGAGGATGAAAATTCCATTGAGAGAGAACATACATAATTTTTAAAAAGGTGGGATCCAAGGAATTGAGTGTAGTTGAATAAGGTCATTGATAAAGTATTTTCTATTACTGTTGGTGGATATGACTAAAAGGTATTTGAGCTTCAGTTGCACCAAGGAAGGTTTAAGCTGGACATTGGGAGAATTTTTCTAACAATGAGGCTATTGAAGCCCTGGTATAGATTGCCTAAGGAGACACTGAATTCTTCATTTCTGGAAATCTTTTGAGGACAGGTTAGATGGACCTCTGCTGTTCATGGTACATGTTTAACTGATCCTACCTTGAGGTAGGAGAGTGAGCTTGATCTCTTCAGCTTAACTTCCTGTGATGGTAGGAGTTTGTTTTATGTGGTGAGGAGGACAAGGGAAGAGGTGCAGGTGTGTGAGGAAAAGGGGGAACAATTCATGGAAGTGCTTTTATCTAATGTGTATTATGAATGCCTCAGGGTCATGTTTCTTTTCTCACTCCATGCTCATTAAAAGGGGGGGAAAAAAGGAGGGAGAAAGGGGATATCTTTCTCTGCTGAACAGAGAATTACACAGTGGTTTATATCCTGATAGACTCAACTAATGCCAGGCCTAACATCACAATGAAAAATTAATTAGAAGCTTTTGCTGGTAGAGTAATGCCACCTGGAGAGTGATATTTATGTGGTATTTTTATTCTGGCAGAAGTATTAATGTAGGTGGAATCATACCAGTGAAGAGTGCTTTTTGTCAGGAGAGTTAATTTTGCTTGTGGAACTGGCACAGCTTTACTGGCAAAAAGTACTTCTTTGCACTCCAAGCTCCTTGTACTGGAAGATTTATCAGTGCAATTAAGCTTCAGAAAGTAGTTGATGGTTTAAAATACACTGTGGTTTTGTTTATTAGTGGGGGGGGAAGGCAGCAAATGCTTTCTGCATTTGTTTAATTTGATTATTTTGAAGTGCATTGTTTGACTAAATGCTGGGTGTGGGGTTTTATGCAGGAGCTTTATAATAGAAGAGAGGAGCTTTATGCCATGTGAGGATCTACTTTATGGCAGAATGTCCTTCAAAGGATTCAACCCAGAAGTTGAGGTACCTTTAAATGTTCTGTTTTGATGTGGTCTCACATTAGGATTGAAGCCTGTGGGGCTGGGGGTTTCAGTGTTCACACTGCATGTTGCTTGGCCTTTGCAGCACCTCCCATAAATCCTCCCATGCATGGGAAATCCATGATTCAAAATAAAACATTGATCAGTGCAGCATCTGGTAAATAGAAGCTTTTTATTTCCTGTGTTAATGGCCAGTAATTGCATGACTCCTGCAGATTTTCCCTCCTTGAAACTGTCCCATGTACTGCTCACCAAAACAATAGCTCACTTTTCCTCCCGCTATTTAATTTAGAGTCAAATCATACAAACATTCAACCCTATTTGTTCAACAATTACTTGTGTAAGGGTGGGCTGAAAGTTTCAAGGTAAAAATTCTGGGCAAGAGAGTCTTTAATTGTTTTCTGGCCTGATTCATGCTGCTAGAAGTACACTGAGACAGTAATAAAAATCTTACCACTGAACTGAAGCAAGAGGATAAGGGTGTAAAGACTAACAGGTATGCAGAAGGCTATGCAAGGTGATTTGCTAGAGGTTTCCTGTAGTTACTTTGAACTTGCTCTCATTGTGACTTGGCATATTATTGCTTCATGATTTTTACTAGTAGTAGTTTACTGTAAATCCTTGCCCGGAAGTTTCCTTCTTAACAAAACCATTTCAAGGACTATGTGCTAACATCACAATGAAAAATTAGAATCGTAGAATGGGTTGGGTTGGAAGGGACCTTAAAGATCATCTAGTTCTAACCCCCCAGCCATGGGCAGGGACCCCTCCCACTAGAGCAGGTTCTCAAGGCCCCATCCAGCCTGGCTGTGGGGGAGAGGGCATCCACAGCTTCTCTGGGCAAGCTGTTCCAGTCAATTCTGTTCTAATTCCCTGGTCTCCTGGAGATGTGTAGCATGCCCTTGAAGGTGTTTGACTAGCACAGTACATTGAAACCCCTGTCTCTGTGTTGCCTCTTTTCCCAAAGGCAGTCTCTAAGCTCATCTTAGCAACAGGCAGGGATGTTGCCTTTTCTTCTTGAGTTTTCATAACAGCGTGTCCTAGCCTGACCAGAAACAGTAAATCATTAAATTTGAGTCTTACCTTTTATGCATTTCTACTACCAGTGAATTTCAGCATAGTTGCCATTGTGTCAGGCCTACATGTTAAGCTATTTCTTACTTCATTTCCAGAAGTTAATGATCCAAATGAACTCTCAGGGCAAGGAAGAAGAAATTGAAGTGGATGATAAAATGGAGGCTGATGTGTCAGATGAAGAAATGGCCAGAAGGCAAGTTATATTTTATGACATAGTCATTATTACCTAGGAATATGATAAGTTACTGCACTTTGTGTGGGAAAGTAAACCCAAAAAGCAAGCAAACAAAAAAAATAACTTCAACAGATATATGGTACTTTACTGAACTGATTTTCCAGGAATTCTGGTGTGTATTCAGCGAAATCTTCATCAATTCTGGAGGTGAAATATCTTGTGGGTGTTTTCTGCCCTTTGCTGTCCAGGTATTCCATGTTAATTCCCCCCCTGTTCAAGCCTGCTAACAAACCCCAGCTGTCAGAACAAAGAACAATGGCATAGTTTAACTTTTTTTACCATTTTTTTTACACCACTTTAGTTGTTGATTAGATTTATGATTTGCTCCATTGAAGTTTTCCCTGACTTTAATCAAAGCTGTACATTTTTAATGTCTTTACAGATATGAGACATTAGTGGGAACAATAGGGAAGAAGTTCTTGAGAAAAAGAGACCAGCGTGTACTCCAAGATGAAGATGAAGATGGGAATACTAACACAAGACCTAGTAAAAAAGCTAAGAAAAAGTTCTTAAAACCTCAGGATTAATGTCAACTGCACAACTGGAGCTAATAGAAATGTTATCTACCAAATATAGTACCACGGACTGGCAATAGCTATTTAATGTAAAGGATAGATTTGTAAATCTGAGTCTGTTCTCACTGAAATTTTTACCACCAACATGGCAAACATTTTTCAAAGTGGATGTGTTTGTAATGGATGTCATACATCCTTTCCTCTCTCAGCAGCTTTTAATGTCTGGGCCACTAATACCATCAATTTTCAAATGTTGTGCATAAGTAGATTGTGTGTCACATGCAATCAACAGCAACATTATTTACAATTTATGATAACATCTGAAAGAAGTATTTGGAGTAGAGACAAGCTTTGTCCAATCCTTTAAGGCAGGTCAGCTTTCACTGCTGGTTTTTAATATGAAAATGAAAACCTATGCTGTCTTCAAACTGAAAAAAATCAGCAGAAACATGTTAGGGTTTGGTTTTATTTTTACCATGCCAAAAATAAGATGGGAAAAGAACAGAGCTAAAATCCATTTTATTGAACTTCGTTTTTTTTATATAAAGCTTATTTAAGAACACAGAGGTCTGTATTAAACTTCTGTTTTTTAGAGAGCAAGCCAAGTATTGGGCAACATGTAGTTTGACACTCGAGCAGATTGTGAATCTTAATTTCTGTCTTCCAACAGAAGCTTGCTAATCTTACCTCTTTGTCAGAATAAAAATCCACTCTTGCAACTGTCTAGGTCTTGTAGAAGCGTAGTAATGACTTGAGAAACATTTGAAAGCTGACTAGAAACAGGCTTTTCTGTGGTTACTGATTCTGGTTTTGCTAATAGAATGTAAAAGTTCTTGCTGGGTCCTGTTTTGCACAGGCTGTGGATGTTCCCAAATATTAGTTGACTACACTGAATTTTTCTGTTTAGCATGCAGTGAAGGCACCTGAAATGATGTTAGGACAGAAACACTCTGCTCTTTGTTCAGTGCTGTGGGCCTGCTGAAAAATGTCAATGTGGTCTTGTGTAAAATCACAGCAGTTCTCTGTATCCTGCCTTTCAATAAGAAATATTTCTTTCTATTACTTCATTTCCCTGGCTAGATCTCTAAGTTACTCATCCTTAATGCTGACTCTCTGGAGAAAGGAATGTGTTAAATTGAAACACGTAGTGGCCATTCTGTCATGGATGCAAGAGACTTTTTTTTATTATTGTATTTTTTAACAACTTGGTGAAGCCAGACATGAAATTCAATTATATAAAGAAAGAGACTGTGTCTGCTGTATTTTGTGTGATATATGAACTATAATCCATATATCAAGAGCACCTCATTAGATATTCAAGATGGATCGCACATGGAAAGAGAAATACACTTTTAACCTAGTAAGGGGACCTCATACAGGTGGAAAATCTGTGATTCATGATCTGAGGTAGTTCTTCAGAGCTAATTAAATGCTACTGGTTCAATTACTTAAAACCTGATCATATATTATTGCTAGCTGAAAAGAAGTTAATGATGGCGAGACATTTTTCTTCCATGGAAGATGTGACCTGAACTAAGAAATGATTTATTGTTGGTCATCACAAGAAAAACTCAGAATATATCCCATTATTCTTGCTTGCTTATTAGTAGGAAAATGATTCCCCTCTATCTGAATGCATTTCTTCAACAGAGGGAGGATTTCCACACAGCTATGCTGGGTACTTGGCAGGGGGTAAAGAGTGTTCTGGTGAACCACCAGCAACCAGGAGATGTCACTGCAATTGTACACCCTGAGAGAAAGGGAAGAGGAGAACCTTGGAGAAGCTTCCAGCTGGGTTATGCAATGGAGCTTTTGGGTAGTTTTGATAAGGATTAGTAGCTCAGATGAACTCTTTCTTCACAGAGGCTCTGTGCAGAGAGCTGTGCTGCGTTGCAGCATTCTGTTCAGTCCAGTGGGGGGTAGGTTTGCACAGTGAAAGGGTGTTGGTCCTTAACTTCATGTTACTGCCTGAGGGGATGGCTGGAAATGTGAGTGACATGGCCTGTGGGTAAGGGCATGAGTGAGCTCTGAACAGCTTCCTAGGAAATCCATGGCTTTGGGACTTGGGAGGGAGGGAAGGGTGGTTTTTCTGTTGCCTAAACATGCCCAACACCAACTGTGAAGAAATGGTAGATTTTTGGTTTATTATCTTCAAATCTGGGTCCTTTGGTGTTCACGTGTGTCTGGTGGCTCGGTGAGCTGTTGCAATGCTACAGTAAGGCCAATCACAGACTTTTAGCACAATCTCTTCTTCATGGGAAGTTTGTAAAAATACACCTTTAAAAGCACTAGTCATAGTGCATCATTATGAGCAAGCCAAAACTAAAAGTCAGCCCTATGTGGCTTTTTAAATATACTTTGAGTGCCAAAAGTTAGAAGCAGGCATTTTATGATGGGGTCTTCTGAAATACCCATCTATATTTCCAACCTTATAAATACACATATATATATATTTTAAGTCTGACTCTACCTTCCTAGCCAGGGTAGAAACATTCTGCAATATAAAATCTGTGCTTGAGCTACTCCAGACAGAGATGTAAGTGTAGCAGTGAAATAATCATAATTGAAGCTACATTAATTCAAGCTTTCTTGGCTCTGACACAGTCTCAAATGCAGATGCATTTTTTTGTGTCTTTTTTAAGCTGTGGAACTTTCCCACATTGTTGTGTTTCTAAATGAAAAGCATTTCTTTGGAGAACAAGAGCAAGTTGGGATAGGTAGTAAGCCTTCTTGTTAAAGAAGTTTTGTTTGCTACTTGCAAAATTTAGTTGATGCAGAGTTATCAGACACCAGGAGTTAGTGCAGCAGGCACAAACAGGTACCTGTTAAAGCAAACAAAGCAAAGTGTGTTTTGTAGTTCGTGCTCACTGACAGCTCACAGTGTTAAGTTTAAGCAGGTCTCTTGTCAAGTGAAGTTTTGTCCCTCCCTTTGACAGGCTGACAGCATTCATTTCTGTAATAACTGCTGACAAAGGAAAAAACATGTAAATATTGAATAACTTCATCATTCTTGCTGATGCTTCTCAGCTTACTTTTATTCTGCCTAGTATACTGGCTCTTAAAAAGTCCAGGAGCAGAGTCCAACTGAAATGAGCCATCCTGTACTTCCCTTTAGTAATGCATGAGCTGATTAAACTTTGATTCTTTGGGGAGGGGGAGAGGATGTCCAGTGGTGCTGTGGGTTTTGAACTGTGTTTCTTTCCTGGTGTGCCTTGTTTTCTAATAAGACAGTCCATTATACAACTCCACAGTCGCACTGGCTGCCGTTGCTGTTGGGCCTAGCGTGTGCCACGGGCAGCTGTGCTGGGATTCTGGGACTCAGTCCAGCATTCAGACTGAAAAAGAAATTGTCTCATCTTGCTGTTAATTGGAGTACCATACTTTCCAATTGTGTTTGGAATTAGACAAGCTCTAGGTGGGGAGGGGTTATAAGAGTTTGTTCTGCTTTCTTTCAGCAACAGTCAACTAAAACTGCACCATAGCTCAGGCTCTCTAATTAAACTTTTCTCAGTGTTAATAAAGCATAGTGGTGGAGAAGGACATCAGATATCCCGTGTGCCCCTTCTGCATGTGAATGTAAGTTTCTCTGAGAGCTGGTGCTTTAAGGACTTGGTTGTTTCTTTTCTTCAGAGTCTGGGAGAGCATCTGCCCTTATCGTGGTTTGCCCATGCACATGCAAGCAAAGCAAAACAAGGGATGCATTCAGCAGTTCCCATGGCAGGCAGGTGTCCAGCCATCCCCAGGAGAGCAGGGCTCCATCACACGTAACCATGACTTGGAATGACAGATGCCATCACTCTGTATGTCCCCCCTTCTCCCCCCAGCCTTCTGTATGAGCATGACATCTGGTGTGGAATATCCCTTTGGTCAGTTGGGGCCAGCTGTCCTGGCTGTGTCCCCTCCCAGCTCCCTGTGCACCCCCAGCCCACTCACTGGTGGGGTGAGAAGCAGGAGAGGCCTTGGCTCTGTGCAAGCCCTGCTCAGCAGCAGCTAACACATCCCTCTGTGACCAGGACTGTGACCAGCACAAACCCAAAGCACAGCCTCCTACTAGCTACTGTATGAGGGCCTGGTGATAATTGTCACATCACGAAGAAAAATCCCACTTGGAGAGTGGTTATCAACAGATGAGTCAGAGAGGGCTGCAGATTCAGTCATGGGGAGCCCCACGGATCTTCGTAAGAGCTGAATAGTAAAAAGGGGTATTTGGGTTGAATCCCACCATAGCAGACACAATTAGAAGTACCAATATGAGTCTGTAGACTTCTGCCCAAGAAACCCTTGCACTCCATAAACTGAGCAATTACCTGGGAGCAGCAGCAGGAACATCCTTGGGGAGGTATGGAGGCAAAATAACCCATCTGCTAATGGGTGTCCTCAAGAGGCAGAAGCACCAGAAAAGAAGTGTAGTTCATGGCAGAGAAATATGGTTTGGTGAACTGGGTGAATGCAGATGGGATTTTCTGTCAGCTAGAATGGAGGTGGTAAGTGTTCTGAAGCTCATAATGTTCCATGGGGTCTTGGTGAATGCCTCAGTTTGATCAATCATTTAGAAAGGGGCAAAACCCCTTAATGGGACCTTAGTATGAGAGAATAATATGAACACAAATTAGAGAACAAAGTCCTCAGTTCTGGTATTTATAGAAAAACTGTTCCCACCTCAGTAAAATCTTTCAATGGCCTCAGCTGCCTCCTGCTTGGTCCTCAGTTCCTCATCCCCGTGCAAGTCCACGTGCACCCAGGACACTGGCTGCCACCATGGCCGGTGAGTAAAGAGCCAGCAAGCATCCTGGGCAGCCCAGAGCTGTTGGCTCCTGAGCCTGCAGAAGAGGTGACTTCTCTTTGGTGATCAGCTTCTTCAGCCTACAAGCTCTTTTTCCAGGAACCTGGAGGAACTTACCCTCTCCATCACTGCTGTCAGATTTGTTCAATGTTGGTCTGTTTCCTTCAGAAAGTTCCTGGTGGGGAGTGTTGGCCAGCAGATTGACAGCATGACTGAACAGACCTATCTT